AGCCGTAAGGCGTTACAGACTACCAACAAAGGGGTGGCACACAGCCCAAGACCATTGCATTTTCTATGTAATAAAATAAGTATTGCGTATCATGCGTCCACGCAGTGTCTCCGAATGTTCACAATCCTGGATCTTTTAAATGCCCTACAGTGCCACAGTCTCACAATTCATGCGTGCGTGTAGTGTTTCCTTAAAAATTTATAGAACTTGCACTCTATACATCCCAATCCTGAAGTGTCGCAGGATCACGCGAAACGCCAAACGATCCCCTGTGTAGGCAAGTAGCGGTCCACATGGATGGCCTGCCCAAAGCAAGCCTCCAGGACGAAGACGGAGTGTATCTCTCAAGGCTAGGATGAAGCCAGTCACTCCACAGAAGTCATCTTGTGGGCGATGACTTATGTCCATCCATTGCCTTTGGGAGCCGGGAGTGCGTGGCCGGTGATGTAACCAAACCTGTTTATTGCTTGGCGTTCAAACCGAGGATGCCACGATTTCATGGAGAGTTTTCCTCGCGATCATTTCAACTGCTCAAGATATGTTCCACTAGTCACTAGTCCAAGTGGAAAATTGCAAGCTCAAGATCATGCTCATAAAACTTGCCCGTACGTTATCTAGAATTAAGTTCTGGACGTAACGATGCAGTGAGCCGGCTTCTCCCCGAAAAAAGTTCGAAGGAATCTAAGTCCTGAGGGAATACAACCTGTTGTGTTTTTGGACTTTGCGCATGACAACTACCACTGGAATAGTTCTTGGCTTAGCCCCCCCACTCGCTCCCACCGGATACCATTGCATGCTAAGTCATTGTCCGCGACCTGTGCTATATAGTCTGCCAAATGAATCCTAAGCTTCAGCCGCGGTAAAGACATGTTTTCCAAGACCAACATCAACCAACAGGCTGTCGGCCATGCTCTTGTTAGTTTCTATCAATCCAAAGTTCAGCAACGTTGGACCACCCAATAAAATGATCGTGGCTGCCGCCCGAGCTGATAGCCACAGCCCACCACCCTTCCTGTTGGCCATCTGTGCAAATGGGGGCGACTCAGAGCCAAAGCAACTCAGGCAGTGGATGCTTCATTGCATGGAACCTGTGGCTGAGAACTGTCAAGGACTGACAGAGCTGAGAAAGGGTTGGTGTCCACCTGTCACTGCAGTATTTGTTGATGCTAATGCACGCACGTTTAGGCCTGAGCTGTTTCTCACATATCGATGGTCATAGCTACATATTTGCAAGTGCAGCCAGCATCTTTAATCAAAACACAAAAAGCAAACAACGCACATGTACACGCATTGGAAGTCGTTGAAACAAATTGGGTGAACATGGCTTTGCCAGCTGGTTTTGTGTAATTGAGACCATGGGTGTGGGTCAAACCACACCAGATCAGTTTCCCCAGTTTGTCAAACTTGGGACACCCACAACTTCAAACAGAAACACATTTTGCTTACAAAGAGGCAATAATTATTGAGAAGATATACACGTGTAGGTTGAGTACATACAGCAAACATCCCAAACTTGACAGAACGCACGCTAGAGTTCTAGAGTCTGAAAAGCACTGAACTTTACACGACTGTCTCCCCATGGCGATTGTTGCCATTCAAGGAAAATGATTAGGCTCACACCCACCCTGCCATTTGCTGGGCAGCAAGCCAGGCGTTAGGCCATCCCCCCCGTTTCTTGCAACTCACAGTTGTGCCACCAGAGCTGTTGACATTGTACCCGTCCAATTGCTTCTTGGTGTCCGCAACGTACAACTGGTCAGAAAACCACCTCGACGCCGGCGACTTGTGAGCTGGATATCGAATATGTCGAGTGGTCTTGGACCTCGCTTCAGTGTTGATCGTTTTGCCCTTTTGTTTTTTGAACTCAGGAGCCCACAAAATGCCAATTGATGAGCACGTGTCAGTGGGCCCCGGAAGAGTGAATGACTTCTTCTCACCACAGAAACCAGAGGGCATTGGAATCTTCAACTCCTTAATCGTTGGCTCCTGGCAAGTATACACTTTTTAAAACTAAGACGAACAAAAAAAGGTTCAGAATCAAGTGCGCTTGAACCTTCAAGAAAGTTGCAACCCCAATCCCAGAAGCCCGGTCTCCTTCAACTTCCAAGCCGCTTTGACCTCTTCTTCTGTCACGGGAGGTTTTTTTTGCTCTAACCTTTTTCTTATTGTCTTCAATCTCTGCCTCCCCCCCCGTTCCCAGCAGTACCCTGCTCAGTAGACACGGCTGCGGCGGGCACAGTAGACACGGCTGCGGCGGGCACAGGGTCCCGGTTGGCAGTTGTAGCTGAAACTGCGGTACCTGAAGCTGATGCAGGGATACCTCCAGGTCCAGGCGCAGCGTCGCATGCTGACATGTCATCTTTCTCGTTCTTCTTCCCTTTTTTCTTTGGATGTGGATTCGAATTGGCTGCCCTGCCCCTGCGCTTCTTCGGAGCTGCAGTTTCAGCGGCCAAGTCCTCCTTCTCGTTCTTGTCCTCACGAGCCGCACGCTTCACCTGGCATGTTTGTTCAGCGTGCATCATTGCCAGGTATTAGACTCACACGAGTCTGAGGATTTGTGGCAGTGGAAGAAAACACCTAGCCCAGTGCACGCTGCCTTCTCCAAGGCTCTCGCCACATCTGCGTCTTGTGGGTCCCCAGCAGCAGCAACCATTGCCCTCACTTGGTCCTGACAGGGCCACAACTTGTATAGCCAGCATGCAGGGATAGAATTCATAGCCTCAAGTCCAAGGTCTAGAGGTGAAGGGCCCGGCAACAAAGGATCTCGTACCTATGCAGTTGTTCACGCAGAGAAACATACACAGCTCATCCCAACATTCATCGCCTTCAAAGCTTGGCGATTGGGTTCGATGACGTGCTCCAATTCAGGTGGGATTTGCGAATCCTGTTCATGCACGAGCTCAACATAAAATGTGACCACTAGTTGTTGCTGTCTTGCACTGTCCTTTATGTACACGTACCCGCCTCCAACATCTCCATGCTGTCGACGTTGGGAGGTGCTGCAATTGCAGCAATCGTGGCAGCAACCTTCCATCGATCAAAACTGATAACCGGTAGCATTCTTTAATTGAACAAGAACATGCTCTAAAACACCCACCTCTCCAGCCATCGACTTCTCTTGTTTTACCTTTATAGTCACAGCACTCGCAGAAGGAAAATACATGAGTGTGCTGATCACGAAGAGGTCGCCTTAGCAGCTGCGTCAGGACACAATCCCTCGGATGAACTTCCGCTGGTCAGCAGCTCCTCGGCAGCCTGGAGAGTTAGTAGTCAGGATGAGTCATGTGAACTTGGGGGAGCTAGCCTCTGGCTCATTGACTGTTTGTAGCTGCCGTTCAATATGGGCATCTGCATGTTGTTCTCCATGGACTTCTGGCAGAGATGCAAGACAAAAAAACTGCTTTAAAATTGCTTCATATATATTCACTGGCCTTTTGTTACCTTGAAAATGACCTCCTTCAGAATGATGACTTTTTGTCTCCTGACCACCGACAACTTGATATACTCGCTACTGTACATCAAAGGAAACGCAAAAAACAGTCCTGCTAGACACAGCTCTCGTCGCCAATTTCAGGCCATGGACGCACACAGCTCGAGTGAGCCCAGCAGTGGTCCGGCTCCAATCCTGGCAGGAAAGGGAAATGGATGGGGTTGAGGCCAAACCAAAAGCACAATTGTTTGTAAAAGCATGAGTTTGTGGTCTCATTAATTTGGCAAACTCATCAAGTCCACGTGCATTTGTCATGAGGTCCTTGATGACTCTCCGCTTCGTTTTCGGAGGGAACAGGCCGTAGGTGAGTGCAATCTTTGTGAAGACCGCCTGGTCACGATCGATCATGGCTTTGACAACCAAGTTCTCATGGTCACGATCGCCCAGAAAGAAAACCATACCACGCACGAACCAGGTACCTGATAGTCTGACATTGGCGGAATGCCGTCCGCTGCAAAGCTCGCGTAAAAGTTCAGCAAGAAGAGAAAATTTGCTTCTACCTTACCAGGGTTGGAAAGTTGAACGTGTTTGGTATTTCATGTCCATTGTTAAGTCACGCACTCCCTCCACTGAATCAGCACTTCCCTTGTCCAAGACCATGAAGGGTTTGTCCTGACATGAAAACACAACATGATCAACGCCTAGACCTTCCAAGCTGTACTGTCCATTCCAGTCCCATATCCTCCGAGTCCCGAAGGTTGGGCAACCTCTGGTCGTCTGCCAAAAGGTGTGATTTGATCACCTCCTCTAGCAGAATCCGCTGAAGCTTCTCGGTCCCCTCTTTTTTCTGGATGGCCATGGCCTGGGCTACATGACCCCGATGTAGATCAAACTTTAAATAAGGTCGCTGAACAAAGCTTTTCTGAGCATCCTGCTTGCCAAGGTCAGCAGTGCACACCCACGCGAGCAGACAAAAATGGGCTGTGGGAAAAAAAACAGTGATCACAGTTCAGTGCAGTACGAAAACTCCAAAGTCCACTGCGTGAACTGAATACGACTAGAACTTGAAAAATGTTGATCAGTTCCTCAGCTGATTCCAAGAGGGCGGATGGGCGCACTTTCGACACCGGTTGTCTTTTGGTACTTCTTCGCGGGCTCCAAGGTGTTGAACCGACCTTGGCAATTTGGAATTTTGGTTTAGATCCCATCACCAGCTCACAACAAAAAACCAAGCTTCCAACGTTTGGCCCGCGCAAGAAGCATCAGGCGCAACCACACATGGCAGTGGTTGAGCCGTCCCCAGATCAAGTCACCTAGGCCTTATTTAAAGTACTTGGTTTGAACATACATGAAAGGTCTTCTTGAATTTAGGTGACAACGTGTTTATGATTTGTGTTCTGCCGTGCGCTGGATCATGGTTTTAGTACATTCGAGCATCCCAATTTTGTGTAATCGCCTTTGGGCCTGGACTTACGATCATCCCAAATCCCTCATCGAGCCTGGACTGACTAACAATGTCCGGCAAGTGATTCGAGGGCTCTCGATAACCCGCTTTCGACAATCCGATAGCCTCCGTATTCAAAATTTGATGTCATGCACTCCGTACTTGAATTTTGATAACATTGCTATGTATGCATATATGGCCATCAGCGATTCCCAGGGTGTTGTAACCAATCCTGCTTCGGAGGGCTGTGGTCATCGGCCATCCAGTTTTGATGGCACCATTGGTCCAAAACATGACCCCAGACGGAGCAACAGGCTGGAATTCTTTGGCCATTCTCCACATGGCCGTTCTATTTGAACAACCAGAACTCTTTGGTGTGGAAACGGCTCCGGATCATGGTGCTGACATGAAGACAGCCTCCAGACAGGGGAGATGACGCAGTTGGCAGCATCTTTGGAATTATTTGCACCAGAACTCCATGGCATTGTTTGTGTGTGAGAACTGGATTGGGTTCGAGCCCATTGTGCCGGCTCAAGCACGCCTAACAACTGGGATGACTGCTCGAGAAGGCGCGGGAGGTCAAGAAGCGTTGATACACAATTTGATTTGTCCGCCAAGTATAGGACTACAGCTGGAATAGTTTAAGGAGTCAGCACAGGCAGACCACACACATATATATATATATAGTTATATTGGAGATCAGGTGTGGAGATGTGCAAACTTAGTTTGACTTTTGCAATTTCCTTCTACAGGTTATATATAAATATCTTTGACTCCCACAACAAGGTCATCGGGCTTTCTTTGTCAGGACTGGGGCAAGTGTGCAACGTCAGAAAGTGAGGCGAAGCCCACCCAACTCTCAAGAGGGCCAGCGTGCTTCTGAAGAAGATTGAGTACAGCTTGCAATTGGGCTTTTATGATGTTTATTTGATTTCTTGGCCTTCTATGATGGTGCACACCATGGAGGCATCACAACACCTCGCATGGTCCTCGCTTCAGCAGCCACGGCCACCAGCAGGTGCAGTCTACGAGCAGAATATACAGCTCGCGGCGTTGAGGCGACGAGCGCAATGGCAGGAGGCCATCGGGATTCTGAGAGCCATGAGCCGCTTGGTGAGCAGTGTTTTCTTGCTTCCGTGAATTCTGAATGATCATGACTGGTCCCCAAAGGCCTACGACTCGTCTTGTGAACCTTTTGGCACGCTGCAAGGGACAGGTTGCCAGGTTGTGACCTTCTGGATCGGTGGTTTTCACTCCAAGTGGTCGAGAGCTGTTTGACAGTCGAAAGCGGTTCTGGTTCATGTTGTTCCAAACTCAAGAGCCAAACGCAGGCGTATCCGATTGTCAAATTGCTATTCGGATCATGCAACAATCCACTTGCAGCACCGGTTATTGCAAATCACGATGAAATCCATTAAATGAATTGCGTTCCAGTATGTTCAAGTGATGTCGTGCATTTGAGACCGTTTGTGGCTATGTCACGTTTGGCTTTGTGACCCAGGCCGCGAGGGTTTGGCTGAAAATATGGGTTTCAGGTGGAAGGTTTAGGGCAAAAAGGCCAGAAACGTGGCCTCTCTCTCTCTACATCTTATGTATATTACTATATATATATATTATTCTATTTGCCTCTCTCCCTCTCTCTACTCTGTATATATATATATATGTACACCCGCTTTTGCTGGGATTGACATCCCTCATCGCCACATCGCGCCCAGGACCGGCCTCCCTGGTCCCGGATATCGTCTCCCACAATACCGTGGCGGCCGCGGTTTTCGTGGCTGCACCTGTCCGCTGGGCGCGTGCGCTCCAGTTGGGCCTTGAGAGGACGCGTCGTGAGGTGGATAGACCCGGGAAGATGCACATAGAACCTGAAGAGATGGATCTTTGGAAGACTATTTTCCTCTACAACCCAGTGGTTTGGGGGTCCGTGCTCCTTGGGGTGTGTCATTAGTTTGCAGGTGTGTCTTGCGCAGGTGAAGTTGGTGCAACTACATGGGTCAGCGTTGCAATAGAACAGGAGCTCACAATCATGCTACCTTGGATGTACTTTGAGTTTCTCACGGCTTGCAGATTCTCATTTTGATCCATGTTTGGCTTTCCACGACCCACCACATGCCCTTGCTGCAAAACATGTTAATCGTTGTTGTGTGCATCTATGCACTACACGTGACATTAAATGTTCTGACACTGCTAAGTGTTTTGCCTGATGTGAAATCAGGTTACAACATGTTACAACTTAGCATCCCTCCCCAGCGCGTCCTACAACTGGCTAACATCACATAACGATGCAAAACACAAACAGTGATAAACAAACAGCGTTTGTGGAAGAAATCCATAGAACTTTGGCTCTCCGGCAACCAAAGGAGCGCAGCCAATCTCATCACTTTCAACACCTGCATCAGCGCTTGCGAGGGGAGCAGGTGGGGGTTGGTCGCAATTTTCAGGACTTTCCAGGAATCCCGAAAGATGTGGTCATAAGTCATAACTCAAAAGATCAGTTATCCATCCAAACCGGCAGAAGGACATCCAGACAAACACCTATTGGTTGCTGGGTGAGAAATATTTGACACGTCCATTCGGAGCATTTTTTCCTTGTAAAGCTACCAACTGTAATACTGTTGGGAATTCAAGTCGGGAGCTCCTGCGGAAAAGTACATGATGCGGCCGCTCCCACTAGCCCCACATAACTAGCCCACATCCTGTCTTAAGCTATGCTACCCTCCTCAAGACTTTTGGCTTAGTCTTTGAAGAGCCCAACGGGCCCAACGATTGTCGAATTGGAATCGCCCAAAGTCTTTGATTGGTTTGTATACCTCCAACATGTTTGTACTAATTAGTGTACAGCACCAGACATCTCCAAAATTGTGAAGACTTGGAAGACACAATTCATGTAAATATTGACTATAGTGTAATGATAGTAGAAATCCGCTGGATTTATCATATATAAATCCTTTTTGTTCTTGGCTAAGCCGTTGATGGAGAGACGCAGAGAGAGAAGAGAGAGAGAGAGAGAGAGGGAGGGAGGGAGGGAGGGAGGGAGGGAGAGGGATAGAGAAAAAACAAAAATCAAGAAATGAAAGAAAGAACGACAGAAACATAAACAGAGACACCTGCCACCTCCTCCATCGCAGGCGTTGGTGTCAGGCCCTCCACCTACTCCAAGAGTGCTCGAAGCGCCGTTGGCACCCCGATGTCTTCAGCTTCAGTGGCTTCGAACGGTGGAGCGTCGGGTCCAAGGGATTCGTGCGTGCCGCGGGTTGGTGGGTGGGATGTGGTGACCAAAGGGGCCAACGACGGGACGACTGGGGTGTGCCATGACGGGACGAAAGAAGGGCAGAAGTCTCCGAGGCCTTTGTTTGCGTTTTTCAGGCACTGTCATAGGAATAGAGCACCAATCCAAGAATTGCAATACAATATCATGGGTTTGGCTGCACATTGTTCCAAGACAGCCTTAGTTCCACTACGGCAGCCAACAGACTCATCGCAACTGCAAGCATTTATAGTATGTTCATGTATTTTCCGATCCTTCTCCCAGACTTGTTTATCTTTGTTGAGCAGCTCTACTGTTATTTGTTGCACCCTTTGTTGCAGCTTTGAGGTAGCACCCTGCATGTTCTCAAGGGTCTTTGGGAAAGGAGCTATGGGCGCGGCAGTCGCGAATCGCGCAGGTTTGCTCAAGAAATGCATCCCCATGGGATCTCAGAGTGTTGTTTGGGTTTCAACAAGGCGTGACCACGAGTGACCGTCAAGAACAGGACTGAGGACCCCCCTTGATCCTTTGGGCAGAGGACTTTCGCTACACTTTGGAACAAGGTGCTTTGACTCCGCTTAAGGGGCAAAAGGGTGCCAGAAAGGACCTGCAGACTAGGAACTCATGATGTCAACTATGAATCCAATGTCAGTTTCCGTCATTCCTGTGCGTGGTTCAAAATCCTGCAGATCGTTCTGTAGATTCTTGGTTGGTGGACATAGGAAACTCACCAGACAACTCACCAGATCTTCATTCACGGCCTAGTTTGAACGCGTGCATCACGTGGACTGGACTTGGATAAAATACTCTGCGTCAAAGCCCACAACCAGGCTGTTTGTACATGTTCGGACTAAGGTGGGATCCTTCCACGGCCGCAGAAGGGGCATTCATTGGAAAGACTTGTCCTTCAGTCCCAACCCGGTCCACCACAACCCTCGTCAGGCAGTTCAACCCTGACCCATCGCAAAGACCTTATTCATTGAACAACTACTCGGATGCCTATAGCCTATAGGATCTATAGGGGAGTAGTTGCTGAACCATTTTTTCGTAGAGCTCCCACTGCAGGAGCCTGAGCCTTGCCGAGTGCCTGGGCGGCCCATGTAGATCGCTTTGTTGACCAACTTACGCTGCAGCTGAGAAAAAGCAACGCAACACCAACGAGGCCCATTAAGTGGTTCATGGCAGTCCATGGTTCTGCCAACGGCGCGCCAGACCAGCGCCCCATCGACCCTCCGCAGCCGAGGACCGGGGACCGAGGTCCGAGGGTCGGTCGTGGACCATCGGTCGGACCGAGGTCGGTGCCTTGGGCACCAGGGCGGTTAAACATGGCAAATGTTGTACCTCAAGGTGAAGACCACAATTAAGGCGTTCAAGTCCCTCCATCGATCGTGGTTCCGCTAGATACCAGCCACGAGGCATCATGAGGCAAGGCGACAGACATGCGACTGCATGCGACAGCGTCCCGGCACTGAGGTCGATGCACGCTGCCAGTGTTCAACAAAACCTTTTCACCTTCAACAGTGCCTTGAGCAGCTGCGAAGCCGCTTGCCGATGGCCTCGAGTGGTCCACATGTGGAACCAAATACCTCACCATGGACTTGCTTGCGCCGCCCGACTGTGAACTTACTCGCTTGATCGGGAGTGGGGAGACCGGATGCCGATCATGCCCGATCCAGGTGTTGCCAAAACATACATCCCTTTGGGTTGAAGAACATGAGATGCAGCTTGTAGATAGTCTTGTAGTTGAAAAGGTGGATCAGGAATGGCTGACAGGCACCTTTTTGTTGAATATATTATTCTATCTTACTATACCAGCCAGAATTAAATAGCTATATATTCACAATTGGGCTGTATTGATATGGCCGCCCATATATAACCCTTGTTGTTCTTTTTGCTGTGTGGCCATTTCAGGAAAACTACCGAATATTTGATCAGTTCTCAGTTCAGTTCTCCTGCACCATACATCCAAGATCATCCAAGGTGTCGCCCAAACTCTCAGCTGGTCCACTGTCTGATTTGGACTGCATCAGTGGTGCAGGCGAACAAATACCCTCCCAGCACCAGTTTTGTAGTAGAAAACAAACAAGCCCATGGCCCGACCCATCAGCACACTCCAATTTGAACCCCCAGGCGGTCGCCGTGGTCCTCGGGCGACGGCACGGCGAGCGTCCCTAGGACTGGGTGAGCTGTGGGACTTTGGCGAGTGCCTGTGGAGCAGCGAAGACGTGGGCGAGGCCTTGGCTCAACGCTTTGGGCGGTTCGGAAGAAGGGACGATTTTCAGGGTCTGAAAACGAGATGGGTTCAACGATGCTTCTGTAAAGATGGAAGATCGTGAACGATGTTTTCACTGGAGTTCATGTGGGTGAGGCTACTTTCGATCCTAGAGTGCACGGGGAAACGCTGGGCATCCTCTATTCAATATTCAGTTCAGGAATGCCAACTTCCCCTTTGCTCGACTTTTGCCGGCTTCTATTTGCTTCTGTTTTGCACGGATTCCGGAAAATCTTGGATAGCCTCTGCATGCTTTTGCATGCTCTTGGCACAGATCTGGAAGTTCTGTGCCGTACATCTCGGCCGGCTGAGCCAGTTCTTTACGGTGCGACAGATGGTTGTTCTCCCATGTCTTGCGTGTTTATCGCCGCACTCTCGGTGCCCGTTTTATCTATGCCAACAACCTGGCGAATGACGGAGAGTCGGGTCCAGCCGCTGCGTTTTTTCACTGAGGACAGCCTTACAGGCTTTGGAGTCCTTAGAGGTGGGTCCGACATGTCTCAGCTTTGGAGCCCCCCTCTCCGCGGCATTTTGGGCATTGCTTCGGGAGATCTGCAGAGACAACTGCTACCTTTGAATCGAAGTCAGACAGACTGCTAGACAGACTCCTGGGGTCGACGTGGGCGAGAGGTGATTCCGTAGACTTCCGTAACTGTGTCCGTAATAACTATACTGGATTCTAATGACTAAGGAGTTAACGGAGGTACGTCAAAAT